AAAAAAAATGGGCCTCCAAACGGGATGCTTTTGGGACAAAATTTTAACTTAGATGATCATAAAAGTTTTGAGTAACCAATATCAAAAAAGAGGAATGAATGGATCTTTAATTGATGGGAGGACTCTTTAGAGGAGTTTGGGGATTGAAATAGAATTTGAAAAATGAGAATAGATTGAGGAAAATGGAAAAATAAGATTCAAAGAGTTACTATTAAAATGTAAAAGTAGTTTTTCTGCAAGAGAACTCCAGGAAGGTTGAATCAATTAGGAAAACACTGAACTGCATAAATCCTTCCTATCTTTAATAAATAATTGATGTCAATGTTTCTCAACTTTGTCTGAGAATGAGACCAACAGGGAGCTTTTAAAGTAAAACTCTATGCAAGTGATTTTAGAATTTTGGACATGACCCAAATATCTTGTATTTCTAAAATTATATGTTAATTTCAATGTTCAGACAATAGTTGAGAAAAACTGCCACAAAATTTCAATAAGTTCTGTTGAGAAAAACAGCACTAGACATCATCAAAACTTGATTTTCACAGTTCAGAATTGAACATGTAAAGCAGCCTCATCCTCATTTGAATTAAAATCGAGTTTATACTTTGATAAAGTTCAAAAATACTGCACATAAGCATGTCAACCTAACCTCAATGGACTCTACTTCATCTTTAAACTCTGGGTTCTTTTAATAAAGCCACAGATATAGAGCTCCAAAACTGAAGACACCTAACATTGCACAAGTGTCTCAAAAGAGATTATTTGAATGAGCATATACTTTTCTTTAAATAGGTTTCTCACCTAAAAGAAACTACCCACAAGACCTTACTTTTTCATAAAGTGTCCTGACCTGTGTTTCCTTACAAGGATAGAAGGAGAAGTTTTGCAGTACTCTGATGAGAGCAAGTTTCATGTTCATGAGAGCAAACCTCATGCCAATGCAGGTTCTGGGTCCATTTCCAAAAGGCATGTATACGTAAGGATTGATGCTGTCCTTGTTCTTCTTATTGAACCTGATTCCACAATAGTAGATGAAAACAAGTTATTGAGACAATGTATGTATAAATGTATAAAAGCTACATAATTGGGGTTGTCTCTTAAACACTCATAAGCAGCAAAACACAGGATTCTTTTGTGGAATGGTCATTGAAATCTTGCTGTGACTTTGCTTATAAGAATTGAAACCTAAGAAACTTTTTCATTCTTATTACACTAGAGGAGCTCTCTGTATTCTTAAGATGTGATGAAGGCTATTTAACAGAAAATATGTCTTTAAGTACTGAAATTATATTCATGATTGTGACCCATACACAATCTGAAAAAATCATAAAATGAGCTTATAAATGAATAAAGTGTGTTCTTGCCTCAACTCCCACTCCTGCGTTTTATATTTTTATTGATGAAGGAGGAGAAAATGCTCCCACTATAATTACCTCTTTTCTCTATACTCTTTTTTTTCTGGATCTTCTTGTCTCCCTTCCTTCCTCTTCCCAATTTCTCTCTTCCTCTACCTCCTCCTCATTCTTCTTTATTCTCCTACTCCTTCTGTCTTTGCCTGTCTCCCCATAGAATATCATCATTGTCTTCTGAGTCTGTCTCATTAGGTTACAGATAATTCCTTGAATGCTGAACCCAGGTTTTACTCAAATTGAGTCCTAGTTATTGGATTGCGTTAAGGAGAAAGTGTTGATTTGGAGAAAGTAATAATGACATTGTGATTGTTTTTAAATGTATTCTTATATGTTTGAGAACATTTTGACAAACTTATAGGTGATTGTGATTCAAAGTAACATGAAAGCTATTGGAAGGTGTGGTGGTGTGTGGAGGGTCTGCTGAGGTTGGTGGATAGTTATTTGGGCAGATGATGAGCAGATGAGGAAGCATTAAAAGCATTTTCCGAACTACTTTCTGTAGATTATGCTTGTGTGTATGTCAAGTGTCCTCCATACAATACATCTTTGTAATTTTCCTCATACTGGACTAGTCCCTGATGCACCTTAAGCACTTAGTATCTTATCACACCTCAGTGAATCAAAGAGATGTGTAATCTCTAATTTTGTATCTGTGAAGTTCAAAAGTTGGAAGTGCTGAAATAGGAGGAAACTGGCACGGAGGAACTCATAACCAACAAGACTAGGTCACTCTAATCAAAAAGTATAAATTTAGTGGCCAAGAGAAGTCTTTATCCCATGCCAACTGACCCACCATACACTACCCTGAAAACTTTCTCTACAACAAAAGGAAAACAGTAACTCTTTTCAGAGTGCAAACTGTGAGGTTGGATCCAAATTTTCAGAAGACCAAGGTCAAGATATATTTAAGGATGAATATCTGAGGTGTCTTTGGGGCACGTTACTTGGCTTTGAAAGAGTCATCGACTGTGGAGAGTATGAGAAGCTGGTCCAGAACACTTCGGAGACAAGACTCAGAGGATCTGAGCTCTCTCCATCCGCAGTAAGGCTGCTTAAACCATTTGGGGGCCGGGGGGGGGTATTCTCAGGTCTTAACTTGTATTTAACGAATGTGGTGGAGGAACCAGAAACCAATGTTTACTCCAGTGGAAGATAGAAGTGCTTCCTAAAGCTGGTAGAAAATTCAACGAGATAAAGTGACCAGGACAAAAACACTAAAACGATTAAAAAATTTAAGCACCTAATATAAGAGAGTGGTCAAGTGGCAGAAAGGTTTATAGATTACTATTAAATAAAATAAAAAAAAACAGTTCAACATCAAATGAAATGTGATAGCATTTCTGCCCTTAAAAGCTACACATTTATATAAAAATGTCCATACTGACATTTATCACATTTATAATAGATAGGGCTTATCTTGATGTTTCAAGGCCTGAAATGGCTATAGTCATTTATTTTTTCTAAAGTTTGTTTTCTAAAACAATTACCACTTTGTAAAAGACTTCTTAAAATTTTCTTAAAACAAGAAAATTTTAAAATAAGAGGCTGTATTTCCTTTCTCAAGAGCCGTATACCTTTCAGGGTAGAACTTTTCAGCTTCTGGCCAGTACATGGAGTTTTGATGAAGACTATATATTGGTATAGCCACGATTGTTCCTTTGGGAATGAACACCCCATTGAGTTCAACATCTTTTTTACAAACTCTCACAATTCTCTCAACAACTGGATATAATCTGAGAGTTTCATTCACCACCATGTCCAGATACTTCATCTCAAATAGTACATCATATGTAACAGGTGCCTGGCAAGAAAAAAAATTTTGTAAATTAAGTTTGGAAATTACTTAAAATTCTGTTGACACAGTACACTGATGTTTTCAGAGATCCTCAAAAAACTCATATTGGTAAAATTCCATAGCATTTACAAAGCATTTAATAACCATCATGATTTTAGAACTGCCCAATGGCACACTGAGAAGTCCAGAGATTTTACCTCTCCTCTTCCCTCCAGGTGTCATTCACTCACCTTATTGGGCAAAGTCTCATCAACCTCCTGCTGAAGCTTCTTCTGGACATCAGGGTGAATGGCCAGTAAATACATAATAAATGAAAGAGTGGTGCTAGTGGTGTGATAGCCAGCCAAAATAAAGATAATAGACTGTGCTGCAATCTCCAGATCAGATAGACCTAAAATGAGAGGAAAGACAATTTAGGCTAAGCAGGTCCATACACACTTTACCATTTACATTAACATAAATCAGAATGATGATCCAAAATCCCATGAGGAAAAACTGGAAGAGCAATTCATAATGTTTCTCATTCTGCCACCCCTCCCCCACCATGAACACAACTCGGTAGTTTCAAGGGACAGTATGAATGTCAAACAGACACAGTATTTTTCAAATATGCCTTGCATATCATGAAAGTGATTTAGCTATAAATAGTGCGTAGCACTCTTCCCCTGGAAAAAAAATAAACTTACTCTATCTAGAATGTAGAGAGAAGAACCTTGAAATCATTTGCAATACTGGCATCTTTGCAGGGAAAATAAAGGCCATGATTGACAGAACTATACTGAGCCACAGAGAAATTTTTCTACACAAATTGTGGTCCATGTACCAGCAGCATCAACAGCTTCAGGGAGCTTATTAGAAACACAGAAGCTCAAGCGTTGCTCTAGAGCTACCAAATTAAAATCTGAACTTTCATGAGATGTGGTCACTTCTGTTCACAAACTAGCCTAAGAATCATCAGGTAATAGAAGAGCTGGGGCACCAGTCTTCAAAACGGATTATCTCTGGGTGTGCAGAAACTATACAGAGAAAAAAAACCCAGAAGAGTAGTGATTAACCGGAGTCTAATGAGTGGTATTAAAATAACACAAGTAAGAATGTTTTCATACAAGAAATTAGTCAGAAACCATAAAACGATGGGGTTCAGTGAATGGAATTAACATTGCTTATCAATCTTGGGCTGAATGTCATCTTCCCTAGTACATGTCCCCTCTATTTGCTCAACTTCATAATCATCAAACAGCATTTGTAATAGAAGGTGTTGTTTCTCTTCACTTTTCTCCTGAAAAGTCACATTCAATTATTCATCTCATTGATTGAAGAAATGATTAGGATTTTTTGTTACTCAAATATCTGAAAGAAACATGGTATACATTCCAACCATATAATTCATAAAAAAATTAATGCAAAATGAGTGTGAGAAAGATTTACATGGAATTCTAGCTTACAGAAGCTTTCTATGATGCTATTGTGGGTAAACCCAAACTGTGTTTTCCCCACTACTGACATAAATCCAATGATACTGAAATAAAATTGGGTTATAAACTTAAATTACAACTCTTCAGTACAATCTGGTAGCCACTAACTGTATGTGTCTATCTAAATTTAAATTTTAATAAATTAAATCTAAATAACAATAGAAAGTACACTTCTTCAGTAACATTACCTACATGCCAAAAGCTCCACAACCACGTGTCCAGTGCTTACTGTATGAACAATATGTATATTTAGTACTTCCTTCAACACAGAAAGTTGTAGTGGAATCAGGGAGAGGATTACTGTTTCAACCATGTGTATGAACTCACATAGAAATATTTCTATTGGTCAGTCTGCACAAATATATTATATTTTCATATCTCTGTTCAGACAAAGGATCTATAAGAAACTACAGTAGTAATGGTCACATTACACTTCCATATTTTGGTTTCTAATACCATCTCTCACTTAAAGGAGCCAGGGCTTCTAGAATAAATGGGTGATTCCAGCCATGATCAGAGGAAATAGACAAGAAACCTAGAGTTTCTTGCACCAGAAAGCAAGAATGTTCTCTCAAAACAATATGAGAAAACATAAGCGATACTATGTATGTTCCCAGAATGTGGATATATATCATTATATAGGTATCAAAACTGATAGAATGTACAAACTGAAGAAGCCTTATGTTAACCCATAAACTTAGGGGTAAGGTGACTTATCTGTCATTGATTATGGCGAATATATCATTTTGGTGAGGGATGTTTGTAATGGGGGCAACATATTAATTTAGAGAAAAAATGAATATGGGCAATCTCTATGCCTTCTTCTCAGTTTTGTTATGAAACTATAATTGCTATAAAATATAGTCAATTTTAACAATCAAAATATAAGATGATAAAGAAGAGAGGGATGAGGAACAGAAGGAGGAGGGAGAAGTTGTTAAAAGACTTAAGCCCAAGAGAATTTGACCATCAATATAAAAAATTTTAGCAAAAGAATAAATTTATAGTATGTAACATCATAGTGACATAAATAAGAATGGAACTCTCTTAAAATCTAATACCAACTCATAAATGTACAGTAGATGATAGAATGATAAAGACAGAAGTTTGTAAACATCATAATACAAATGCTTTGTATCAAAAATCATCCATGTATGATAAAACTAGTTGGTAAAAGTATGCTGAGGAATAGGATGTTTACACAGTATCAGAGGTTTCCCCCACAACATTCTTATGAATTACATGGGAAAAGTTAATTTTAATATCAGATGATGCTAGTGAACACATTTTCACCCAGTACTGCAAGTGACCCTCACCACTACTGGGACAGTGAACCTCCTGATTAGATGTACAAATGCAAATATCCAGGCAGAGGTTCTGATTCAGTGAATCTGAATGCAGCTGCGAATCAGTGATTGTTCTGATGTTGATGGTAAAAAGAAAACAGACTAACTTCAAGACTTAAATGCTTTCTCCTAGTTTCCATTCAATTTTTGAGCCTTCTTACAGCTGTATGATTCTAGACAGTACATGTGGGCACCATTTGCAATATCCAAATGTGTATCTTCCTGCAATTTGGTGAAAATCTATTTTCTCTAGAAAACGTGTATATTTTCAGGATAATTTGCTTATTTGAATTTCACTGTCAATTGACCATGAAACATTCTTGCTTACCTTGGTAGGGCTCCTTGTCTTGGGAATTCTGGGAATCAATCATTAACTGGAGAAAATCAATGCGGTGCTGGAAGCAGAAATGGAAATGGAAATGACAAAATCAGTCATAAAGTCAGAAGTAAAACTGGAATGTAGCATTTCACCTCCCTTCTTAGAATATGGCTCCTTTAAGTCCAGAAGTCTGGCTAGGTTTGCACAACCCAACAGTGAACAAAACATGCATGTATAAACCATGGAAAACAGGATATTTTCCTGAGAGAAATGCAGCTATGGTGTCCAATATCTGTTGGTCTTTGCTCTCCCTAATGCTGGGTTTGCCTCCTTCTCCGGTCACACCTTCTTGCCCAGGAAGTGGTCCTGTAATTCAGTTCTTTTAGTTTGCCTTAATTCTTATTCAATGGTCACACTGAATACACTTGGTAGTTTCAAAGTTGATTACTAGCTTTTGTTTGTGTATCATCAAATTTTCCACCCATTAGGTACATGATTCAATCTTCCGTGACACTTGGGGATGGCTGTCCTGCCTCCCTGACCTGGAGACATTTTTGTGCCGAACTCCAGGCAAAGCAGAATGCAAAGGTAGGTTAGCATATTACCTTGATGGTCACTGAAGAGCATAGCCTGTTTGTGGACAGGAAAAGACTCAGATTTAACATACACATACTTCACCAGGTGCCCAATAGGACCTTCCTTTGAAGAATGTGTCAACTAAGATGTAAAGGGCTTGGAATTGTAATGATTGTTCACCAATATAAGATTTGGGAAATATTTTTTAACAGTAAAATCATTTTGAAATAGAATTTTTATTTTGACAGTTTACTGAATGGGAGGGAAATGATAAGGTTTTTATTTGAATGATATTTATTTCAAGACATAACATCACATCTATTATTGTATCAAAAACTGTCAATCTTACTCATTATCAGTTTGCTTTTTTTAAATTTGATCTTCATTCTAACCAAAATGTAAAAATTCTCCAGTGCAAATCTTAAAGTTTTCCATCAATTTTAAAAGATGTACAGAGGGGCTGGCGAATGAAGCTCAGTGATAACAGTATTTGCCTACAATATATGAGGCCTTCGGTTCAATCTCCAGCACCACTACAAAATTACATGTATATTTATATGTGCACAAGTCAGACATAAACAGCAAATAAATGATCAGAAAGCGAACATCGTCATGTCACCACCACCAGGTTTTACCTTTTTTTTATCTTCTAGGCGTTTTTGTTTCATCCTCATTACAGCATTTTTTAAAAAATCCAGAGCACTTTTTGAAAACCTGCAGACATTTAATGCTTGAAACACTGGTCTAAGGAATGGAAATAGCACTATAAATAAAGTGAAAGAAAAAATAAAGAGAAACCTTCATGAAGAGACAACATCCCAGGAGCATTGATCATTTTCTAAAAAATACAGAAGAGAAAAATCATCAGTTTTCTCAACCAGAAGCCATTCCCCCTGTGGCCGGTACCTGGTGTCTGATTCATGTCTGAGCAAGTGCACTTCATACATGGGATTGCAGCCACCATAGCAGGCAATCAGTGGCCCCATCAATGCCAGTGAACAGAGCAAAGGAAGAGGATTAAATTCTCTGGCCCTTTACACTTTTGTGTATTGAAATAAGGTCTCTGGGTAAACCAGTCCATAGTCTGTGCTATAATTAACTATGCATTCTAGGAAAAGTAGGCAGCATAGGTACAATTTGGCCTATGTTTCTCAGCTGTCAAGAAATGAAACCAGAAATCAATAACAGATGGAAAATCAGGAAACTCAGACAAAATTGCAAATTAACCATAAATCTTCTAGATACAGTTGTCAAGCATCAAAGATGGTATCCAAAGGCAACTAGAAGTTGTTTTTAGGTGAATTAAGGTGAAGACATGTTATATCACACTTAGGAGAAGTAGCAAAAGCAGCGCTCATAAACATATAGCTACAGATGTATAGGTTTTATAAAAGAGAGTTCTCAAGTCAATAGCCTAAGTTAAATCATAAAATGGTGAAAAGAGGAAATTAAACAAAAGGAAAGCATAAGGAAGAAAATCATAAAAACCCAAGTTGATACAAATGAAATAGAATAGAAATAAAATTGACAAAAACAAAAAGTGTCTATAAGTCACCTTACCCCTTTGAAAATGTCATAAAAATCACCAAACCATTAGCCAAATTGACCAAGAAATACAAAGAGATAACAGTTTCATATGATGATATTTCCTCTCAATATGTACTAGAAATGGGCATCTGGATCAGAAGGTATATCTACTTTTATTTATTTTGGGGACCTTCACACTCTTTTCCAGAATGGTGTACATTTCCACCTACTATATGTAAGAGTACTTTTTCTCCACATATAGCCAGCATTTGTTATTTTTTCATTCATTCTTTCTATTTTTGATAATGGTCATTCTAACCAGGGTGAGATAATATCTTATTGTAGTTTTGATTTGCATTTCCCTGACACCAAGTGATATTGAATAGTTTTTTCATATATTTTTTAAATCATTTGTATTTTTTTTTGAGAAATAACTATTTGGAGCATTTTCCTACTTTTAAACTAAATTACTTGAGGGTTTTGGTCATTAAGGTTTTTAAAATTTGTTATATTATGGAAATATATATCATTTATAAATGTAATACTCTATAGATATATAAAATATACTTTATGTAAATCTATTTTTATCTAAATGATTGGAACATCTGTACATCCTGATTTATTTGTATATTATTCTGAATACTTGAGATGTGCATTATTTCTAGGTATCCATCAATGCATGGATAAAGAAAGTGATATATATAAATATATATATATATATATATTTCTTATATATTATAATAAAAATTTATGTATTTATAATATATATTATAATGTGAAATATATATACACACACACACATACATATATGCCCAATGAAACATTCATTCATAAAGAATAAGGAAATCCTGTGTTTTATAGCAAAAAGTAGATGGAATTAGAGGACATTCAGCTTATGAACTAAACTAGACATATCAATACAAGTACCACATGTTCTTTCTCATATGTGGAAGGTAAAATATTTGACCTGAATGTATAATAGTGATTATTGAAGGTTGGGAAGGGTTATGGGAGAGGGTGAATAAAGAAAGGCTCTATTTCATTTGTGTATGCTGTGTACATGTGTTGAGACATCATACGGAACCCCATTTTTTGCATAACTCATACTTGTTAATTAAAAAATAAAATAAATATTGAAAATGAAATTAATGCAATGAATAGCAAGAGAAATGAAAGGAGAAATTATTACTAACATTGAAGATGGATTTTAAGAGAATTTTAACAATTTGATTGTTCTTATATCTTTGTGCAGAAAATCCTTAAAGACATAAACTATAAAAATTGATTGAGAATTAAATATACAACCTGAATAAGCTTGTAAAATGTAACATGATTTCATTAGAAATAGAAAATTATTCACAAATACAAACCCAGATCTGGATTATTTTAGTAGTAGATTCTATGAAATAAAGTACTAATAACAATTACTCACAAACACTTCCAAATTTAAAAGAGCATTTCTAAATATATTCTAAAAGGCCAGTATTACTCTAATACTAACACAAAGCAAAGACAACAAGGAAAATGTTGTGTAATACACCAAATCCATGAAATAAAATTCAACACAGAGGATTGTTTCAATTGATGCAGAAAAAAAACATTTGATAAAAATCAAAACCAACCCTGCTCCTGGAAAAATAATCCTCAAAACCATTTTTTTGTGATAAAACTCTCAACAAATTAGAACAAGGATGAAATTTTGTAAACATGATAAAGGATATCTATGAAAACTTGAAGCTTAATAATTTAATAGTTTCACCCCAAATCAAGAACATGACATATATCCCTCTCTCATCACTTCTCTTGAAGTACTGTAAGTAATAACAAGTTCACCAGCATTTCAATATGTAAGATCAGTGTACAAAATTAAACTGCATTTCTATATACTGTAATAAGCAACCCAAAAGAAAAACTAAGAAGTTAAAAAATAATTCTATATTTAATGTCATTAAAAAGAATAAAATATTTAAGAATCAATTTAACAAAAGTACAAGACAAGCACAATTATAACTACAAAATACTGTTGAAATAAAAGAAAGAGAATCTATATGACTAGAAAAACATCTCAGGTTTGTGGATCAGAAAACTTAATATTATCCAAATGGCAATAGTATTGAAATTGTTTTGAAGATCCTAATGCATTTGTAACAGAATCTTAGCTAGCTTTTTTGAGGAATAGACAAGTTGATTTAAAATTCACATAGAATTCAAAGGGACACAGAATAGCTAAAATGATGTTGGAAAATGAGACTAAAGTTGTAGGACTCACATTTCTTGATTTCAAAACCTACTCCAAAGCAAAAATAAAATGTGATCCTGGAAGATGGGTAAACATATAGATAAATGGAATAGGATTTAGAGTCCATAAATTAACCTACATGTCTATGGCCCATGGAATTTTGAGAAAGGTGCCATGGCCATTAAATGGGGCAGACACTCTTCAAAAATGGTGCTGGGAGAACTGGATAGCCACATTCAAAAGAATAACATGTTGACCTCACCTGGTCCTGTATGTGAAACTTAAATTAATAAGGTTGGGCAACCTAAATATAAGAGCTAAACTACAATTTTTAGTAGTAAACCATAAAAAGTGTGTACATTCATATGGTTCCTGTCAATGCTTAGATTTGATACTTAAAGCACAAACTATAAAAGAAAATTACATAAATCATATATCATTTAAATGTTAAGTTTTTAAGATCTGTTGAGTTTTTAACATTTATATAAATGGCATCAAATTCATTGCATCTATGTCAATTGCTTTTCTTTTGTGAAAACTACAGCGTTGAGATTAATACATTTTAATATTTTGAAATCCAGCTCATTCATTGTAATGGTTAGGATATGTAGTACCTCCCATGATAGGAATAAACTGCAAAAAACTAAAAACTTTGTGCTTCAATGGACACTATCAAGAAAGTAAAAAGATATCTATAGAATGGAAAAAACATGTTACAAATCATAATCTGGTAAGGTAGGCAGAACTGCGACCACCGACAGAACAGTCCCAGCGGCCCGTGGAGGGGCAGAGCCACCAAAGGTGCCTGCAAGGTAAGTGGGCCTGTGACCCACCTGCAAAACAGGCCCAGCGGCCTGCAGAGGGACAGAACAATGCCCGCACCTGCCCGGTAGGCAGACCTGCTACTGACTGGCAGAACAGGCCCAGTGGCCTGCCAGTGTGGTAGACACATTGCCCCAACTGGAGGAGGGGCACAGCCGCCCATGCCTGTGAGGGAGACTTTGCAACTATAAAAGAGAAATATAAATATATAGGGGGAAAATTCAATAACACAACAGTTTCACGAAGCAGAAAGAAATGCAATCAGTATGAAAAGACAGGGAAGAAAGGACAACAAGCAATGCAAGTCAACTCAACGTTAAAAGAGGTAATATCTGCAGCAGATGAAATGTCACATAAAGAATTCAGGATATACATGCTTCAGATGATCTGGAGTCTCAAAGAAGAAATTAGACAGCAAAATCAGAAAATGAAAGATCACTTCGACAATGAATTACATAAACAAATCCAAGAAACACAAGATCAACTATACAGGGAGATAGAGGTTATAAAAAAAAAACAAATAAAAATCCTATAAATGCAGGAAGCAATAAGCCAACTTAAAAACTCAATTGAGAATACTACTAGGAGAGTAGAACACTTAGAAGATAGAACATCAGACAATGAAGACAAAGTATTTCAACTTAAAAAGAACATAGACAGCTCAGCAAGGCTATTAAGAAACCATGAGCAGAATATCCAAGAAATATGGGATAACATAAAGAGACCAAACTTAAGAGTCATTGGTATACAGGAAGGTATAGAAGTCCAAACCAAAGGAATGAGCAATCTGTTCAACAAAATAATATAAGAAAACTTCCCAGACATAAAAAATGAGACAGAATCCCAAATCCTAGAAGCCTACAGGACGCCAAATGTGCAAAATCATAAGAGATCCACACCTAGACACATTATAATGAAGATGCCCAACATACAAAATAAGGAGAGAATTTTAAAAGCTACAAGAGAAAGGAAGAAGATTACATTTAGGGGTAAACCAATCAGGATAACAGTTGATCTTTCAACACAGACTCTTAAAGCTAGAAGATCCTGGAATAACATATTTCAAACACTGAAAGAAAATGGTTCCAAACAAGAATTGTGCATTCAGTGAAATTAAGCTTCAGGATGGAAGATGAAATTAAAACTTTCCACGATATACAAAAGTTAAAAGATTTTGCAGATAGAAAACCATCTCTCCAAAACATCCTCGGCAAAACATTACAGGAAGAGCAAATGGAAAATAACAATGAAAACCAACAGTAGGAGGTAGTATAGTAAAGGATGGAAAAATAATCAAAGAGGAAAACAAACCATGTTTAGTAACATAAATAAACAAATATGGCTTGAAGAACAACCCATGTCTCAATAATAACCCTAAATGTCAATGGCTTAAACTCAGCAATTTCTGTATATCAGCTACAAATCCTCTGAAATGGAAATGAGGACAACCACTCCATTCACAATATCCTCAAAAAAAATACTTGGGAATCAACCTAACAAAAGAGGTGAAAGAGTTATACAATGAAAACTACAGAACCCTAAATTGAGAAATAGAAGATCTTAGAAGATGGAAAAATATAACCTGTTCATGGATAGGCAGAACTAACATCATCAAAATGGCAATATTACCAAAAGTTCTTTATAGGTTTAATGCAATGCCAATGAAAATCCCAAAAGCGTTTTTGCAGAAATAAATAAAGCAATTATGAAATTCATATGGAAAAACAAAACACCAAGAATAGCAAAAAGAACTCTAAGCAGGAAGTGTGAATCAGGCGGTATAGGGATACCAGAACTCAAACTATACTACAGAGCAATAGTAACAAAAACAGCATGATACTGGTACCAAAACAGGTGAGTGGACCAATGGTACGGAATAGAGGACACAGAAACCAATCCACAAAACTACAACTATCTTATATTTGATAAAGGGGCTAAAAGCATGCAATGGAGGAAGTATAGCATCTTCAACAAATGGTGCTGGGAAAACTGGAAATCCATA